CCCAGACAGTGTGGGTTGGTCTGCAGGACAGCTGGCTTTGGGAGGCCCCGTGTGACTCAGGTCAGAGCCAAGCTCCTAGACAGGGGTGGGGCAGGTGCACATATGGGGGCCTCCTGGGAAAACACCCGTGAAGAAAATTCAATAATCTCACAATGCCAGGGGCACGATACGTGTTAGCCCCTCATTTACCTCCCAGCCTGACCTGGGTGTAACTGGTTATCTGAAAACTCAGGATGCTGAAAAGAAAACTAGAACTACTCATGCGTCAGGCTTGGACTGAGCAATCCTCTAACAGGGAGCTGCTAGGATTTCTGAAGGTCCTGCTTTAAATCTGAAAAGTTTCTGGAGGGACCTTTGACATACCCTTCCCTTGAGAGGAAGAGAAGGTGAAGAGGCCAGAGAGACCCAAACACTCAGACTCCAGGAGATTATGACTTATGGCTGATCAGTGAGACGCTTCTGTGGTCCAGGCTGGCCCTGACTTTCCTTCTTCCCGGAGAAGTCAGAGCTCTGGGGTCACTGTAAGATGACTCGTCACAGCACTAAAAGCCAGGTGGGGTGCTGGAGTTGCTGTAGGCCTCAGACTCTGCATGAGACAGCATGTGGTGTTTTGCTGGGCCACTTCCTACTGCCTCCTAGTGCCAGGGACAACACTGTCTGTCCCATAAATGGGGCACCATCTTGGCCACCCCTCCCTTTCTCCCTCTTTCTCTCTCTCCATTGCCCCTTCTCTTATGACTAGCATCCTCAGCTGGAAGTCTCTAGCCACCCCAGGCTAGATGTGTCTGCAAACAGCCTCGTAAAACCATCTGCGTGTTCCACTACAAGCCTTCCCCATGGTCTCGTCACCCCCTCTAGATGTCAGACGTCTGGGGACTCCTGACCCTACAGAATCCACATACCCAGTTGACTCCTTCCTTCTCTGCATCCTCCTGTCTCTTGGTCTCCCTCACTCTGCCTCTTTAGTTTTCCACGCTGCCAAGGTGTAGGTCTGAACATCTGCTCATTTAACATTCTGCGTGGCTTCTCCAGAGAGAAGCTGCACCCCTGAAGTGGCTCACAGAATCTGGGAGGCCTGCTCTTGCTTATTTCTCTCATCCCTGTCTCCCAGCATGGCCACCGGTCTGGTCAGACCAACTGCCCCCAGGCACCACATCCAGACCTCAGGGTCCCTGGGAGACTTGCACCTCCCCTGGCCTAGTGACTCTTGCCACCCTGCCCCACACCCACACAGCCAGACATCCTCTGTGGCAGTGTTGGCCCTGCCTCCTCGTTCTTGTCAGCAGACCCCTATGGCGGCCTCCTGTGCCACAAGTTCCTTTCCTGCTGGGAGCGCCAGCCCTGGCCCAACTAAACTCTCCCTCCAACGGCACTGGCACCATCTCCGTGGCCTCTGTCTAAACTGACAGCACTTGGCAGACTGAAGGAGCAATACACATTTGGAGCAATACACTTTTTTTCATAATTAAACACATTTTACTCGATGATGATTAAGTCCTAAATTCAATGTGTAAAGTGAAAACTCATCAACACCACCCTGCAGAGCCGACACCACCCTGCAAAGCCGTTGTGAAGGTCCACGAGCTTCCTGAAATCTGATTTGAATTCACCTTCCTCTTACCCAAAGGGGTTAGTACTGACAACTTTTTTTTTTACTACACCCACCGTCAGGACAGATCCCCATTTCTTGAGCAGAGCAGCAGTGAGGAGACTTATCTAGGACCATGTTTCATTAAAAACGTGCTGCTCTTTTTAATTGTTGATCATTTTTGGCCTAATACTTGTGATATGGTCACATAAATGCATGTATTTATATGCTTATTTTTTTTTAAATGACAATGAGCCAGAGACTTCTGGTCATTTCATTCTGGTTCCCACCACCTGATTTTCTACTTTGAGTAGTCTGTCGTAGCAGAAGAACTGCTAGAGACCCATGTTCCTGTAGCAACAGAAAAGGGACCTTTCAGAAGCCAGGCCGTCCAGGGAAAATTGCGTCCCTGTGTGGAGAGTCATCTGGGTCTCTTCCCAGAGCAACTCCGCACTGGCCCAGGCCTTGGTCACTTTCTGGGGGTAGGAGTAAAGCCTCCAAGGACAGGCCTGACAAAATGAGGAGACAAAGGCTTAAGGAAAGCCAAGGGGAGCAGTAGCCCAGGTAGGGGAGACAGCAAATGAAAAAATTCTTGGAATATTGACGCAAAACCAAGCATGGCAGGAAGTGTAGGGTAATGAGAGGAAGATGATGAGAAAAGGAGGCAGGACCCAGCCCCCAAACCCCACCCTGGGGCACCCAGACTTCACTCCCTGGCATCAATGAGTTGGTTCTAAGGCAGAGAAGGATTTAATTGATTCAAGTTTTAAAAGGGTATTTTTGATCAATTGTTCTTACTATTTGTTTACCACTCTCTGATGCGAGAAAACTTAGTATAGTTTTAACTTGCTTTTTTTCTTACTGAGTGAAATAGAGCAGATTATTATGTTTTGAGTGTCACTGTGATTTAATTTTGTGTGTACAAACTAATTATAGTTTTTGTTCCTTTTGGTTTTTTTTTTCTGGTTGACTTGAGGAACTTCTTACATATTAAAAAGATGAACCCGGCCCTCCCTGGTGGCACAGCGGGTGAAAACACAGCACTGAGAAGCTAAAGCTACCTCCGCATGAGTTTGATTCCCGCCTGCCCCGGAGGTGACCACATGGCGTAGCAGACCTCTCCTGACCCGCCTGCTGCTCCCCTCAGCAGTGTAATTCATCCATCTGCCTGTTCTGCTCCCCACTGTCTCTGGTGAAGCCTCTCACCGCCCCTGCACCTCTGGCCAGTACCCCAGTTCTATATGCATAAATAAATAAATCTTTAAAAAAAAAAAGATGAACTCTTTGTGATAGGAATGACAATTCTTCCCCATTTTTCATGTTTTTCACTCTGGTGATTTCTTTTCCCTAAAGATATTCTTTTTTTTTTTTTAAGATTTATTTATTTGTGCATACATATCTGGGGGGTATAGGCCAGAGGCTCAGGGGCGGTGAGAGGCTTCACCAGAGACAGAATGGGGAGCAGAACAGGCAGATCAACGAAGTACACTGCTGAGGGGAGCAGCGGGCGGGTCAGGAGAGGTCTGCCACGCCATGTGGTCACCTCCGGGGCAGGCGGGATCGAACTCATGCGGAAGTGGCTTTAGATTCTCAGTGCTGTGCTTCAACCCGCTGTGCCACCAGGGAGGGCCCAAGATATTCTTTTTAAAATAATTTATCAGTCTTTGAAATAAAGTAGAAATATAAACTGGAGAGAGATTTTAGTGCAATAGTCAGCAAGTCAGCTTTTTGTTTGATGTTAGCCAGAGGTGGTTGAAATTCCTTTTACTACCGCTTTCAAACCAAGTTTTTGAAAATGGAATTTATCAGAGGGTGTCTCCAAGGAATATGCCCCCGTGGAAGGCATCTTTATGCCATGCGTTTGACACTTCTTTCTAACCAACTAGATTAATCATCAGTGTTTAATAAAGGTCTTGGGGTGGGATAAGGAAGGCTCTGGGACCAGACAGAGTGACAGAAGCTGCAGGATTCTGGTTGGAGAGAAACAGAGCGGGGGAGACCTAGAGAGAGCCACAAAGAGTCAGTGCACTAATCTCTTCCTCCGGCAGTGTGGAGATGAGAGCAGGCAGATCCTGGATTCTCCTTTTTAATAGGCATAACTTTTTGTCTTCTAATTTAGACTCATCAAATTGCAGCGGTGGGGGAGCAGGCAAAAGGTGGGTGGAAGGATTGGGGATGGGGAGGTTCAGATTCCTAGAGAAAACTACCTTCACCCTCAACCTCACTCTGAAGGAGGATGGAGCAAATGTGTAATCTTGGAGACATCAGAGAACTTGCCCAAGGTCACCCAGAGGGCTGGTGGAATTCGAATTCAAGACTGACTCTAGAGCAAAGCTCTGCACCTTCATACCACAGGGGTACACAGTGTCCTTCTCTCCCTCCCAGTCCACAACAACGCATTATCCGCCAGCAGGGAAGCCCTAGCAGCCACTGCTCTACACTCCCCCCCCACCCGCCTTTTCTCCCAGCCCGCTCGCGGTTCTGGGCCTGGCGTCCCAGACTGGCTGCGAGCCGGTGGTGCGTCCTGCGCTACCCCAGCGGACACATTTGCAGCGCTCCAGGCTCTCCACCTCCCTCCTTCCCAGACCCCACCCCTGGCCCGGGACTTGCGGACTCCCCGACCCACCCCACCCCCCTTTCTGAGCATTGCCAACTTTGTCTCTAAACGAGGCTAGGAGCTGCCCCCCAGCAGTGCTCGGCGGGCGACCAGTTTCACCGTCCCAGCTTCAGCAGTAAACATTAACAACAGCCACCACTTTACGAGCACCCACAGCGTGCCAGGCACGGCACTCGACTTCAATTGTCCTGATTGATTCCCTCCCCACAACGAAGCGACCCCTAGAAATGACTGTCCTTATTATATAGTCGAAGGAGCCGCTTGTTCCACAAAGTTAGATGACACGCCAGGGCTCGCACGACTACTAGCACTGCTAGCTAGTATTTGGTTCGGTGCTTCCTTCGTGTCCGGCACAGATCTACAATACATATGGTGTAAGTACCTACCCCGTTGCTCCTACCAATAACCCTCTAAAACGGGTGTCGTTGTCATCCCCATCCTACGGATGAGGAAACCGAGGTTCGGCGCCTTGCCCAAGGTCACCAGCCAGTGTGAGTGACGACGGGTCTTGGACCCAGACCCAGGCGGAGTGACTCGGGAGGCAGTTTTTTATGCGTCTCCTCTACGCAGTGAAGCAGCAGACTTCGAATCTAAGGTTTTAAGGGGCAGCCCCAAGCGCCCCCAAACTGAGCGCAAGCCTTAACAGCTCCCGCTGCCACAACCGCAGAGACGAATTCCCAGGGATGGAGACCCGAGTGCGGACCTTGGCTAGAGCCGAACCGCACGAGGTCCTAGTAGCCGGACCTCCGCTCCGAGCTCCCGCGCACCCCAGAGCAGATGCTGGAAAGTACTTACCATAAAAGAGAGGGCAAGAGCCTGCCCCGGTGGAATCGCCAGCGCTGGGAAGTCCCGGACTCCGGGGACAGACGTCCACCGCCGCCGCCCACTCAGGGGCGCCCGAGCGACCCCGCAGATGTGGGCTTGCTCCTCGGGGCAAGGGGCACGTCCTCTCGGCTAGTACCCAGATGCAGCGCCCCCTCCGCCCAGCTGGATGGCCTGGAGTTGGAGCGTTCTTGGGGAAGTTGGCGCTCCGGCGCGGGAGATCGGATCCCAGTGGGGAAGCGCCTTCCAGAAGCCGATCGCGGGGGCGCGCCAAGGCCCGCGCTCTAGCCGTCTGGAAGCTCAGTGCCGGACCCGAAGGGCGACGAGTCCAGAGCTCAGGGCTCACGGGCCGCGCCTCGGTCGCCGGCCCCTGATGCGCTCAGCTTCTTCCCCAGGGTCCAGGGCGCACGCAGCGGAGGCTGGAGCTGGGGCCCGGGCCGGGGCTGCCGTGCGCTCATCTCCCTCCCCAGAGGCAGGGCGCCTTTGTGCGCCGGGCGCGCCGGCCGCCAGGGCCAGCTCTGGATGCTGCAGCCGTCGCCGCCTCCCCTCCTCCTCCTCCGCTGCCCGCTCCCCGCCTTCCCCGCGGGCCGGGAGGCTGCAGCTGAAAGCCGATCCGGCTGAGCTCATCCCTGAAGGCCACTAATCCAATAGCCGCGGAAGGCGCGGCCGCCGGGAACGCCCCTTCCCCCACCATCCCGCGCCCCGGCCCGTCCCAGCTCCGGCGGCTGCCGGCGCCGCCACCTTCCCGAGGCCACCAGCTGGCGGGAGAGAGAAGTGGAGCGGGAGCCCGCGCCCGAGCCCGCGCCCGCTCCCCTTTGCGGAGTCGCGGCGCGGTCGCCATTCACCCTCCCGCTCGCCAGCACTCGCTCACTCGCGCGTCTCATTCATGCGCGCGGGTCCCTCCCCATTCATTCAAGCGCGCGGGGAGCTCTCGGCTGGGTGCCCCTTACTGGGAGGAGATATCCACTGTCACTCGGCAGCTTTGGTGTCTTTTCCCCAACGCACGTGAGGAAAAGCAGCCTAGGAGAGAGGATGGTTCAGTATTCCCTTCTTCAGACACATGCATGTCACACTTTATTTTTTTAAATCAGGCTTCAATTCACCTTTCAAAGTCCAATTTCATACCACACCTGCTTCACGCGTCCTTCCCCGCCCACCCGAGACGCAAGGAGGTCTGCTCCGCTCACTACCCGCGGACCGTGAGCAGCTTCATTGCGAGCTTGAGCTGAGAGATAATGGAGCGGGTGTGGCCAGAGCCCAGGCCCAGAGCCCGCTCCTAACATCTGTGCTTCCTCAGGGAAATTGAAAGTTCCTGCATGGGTGTCCTAGTCTTTGCGCCTTGCGTTGACTTCAGGGCTTTCCATAGTCCTTTGCGGACCTCCTTTCTCTGACTGGCACCAGGCAACAGCCTAGACGCAGAATCCCCGTTTTATCAGGAACACAGACAAGACAAGCCAGGAGGAAATGATCTGATGGAGGCTCCTTTCCCAGACATGATGGGGAGTCCGAAAATGCTGAGAAGGCGACTATGTGGATGAGTAGCAGGAGGACAGGATGGTCACCTGGGTGCAGAGCCTGTGAGGTGCCTGGTGTGTGAACTCTCAGAAGATGGTAGATGGAGCTGGAGAACAGCACTGCAAGGAATTTGGCCTGACCCCAAGATCAGCTGGGTAGACCTTAAACCAGGGCAGTGCCTTTGTCAGATACGCACTAAAAAGATCTCTCAGCAGCAGAGTGATGGATGGGTGGAGAAGGTCAGTGTGGAAGTGACAGAAATTGTCCAAGCAAAAGATGATCCTTTCTGAACCAGGGGAGCCTCAGGGGGTGGCAAAAGGGGGCACTAACCAAGTATTGCATTTACACTACTGTTTGGCCATTATGTGCATGTCTGTCCCCCTCTTAGGACTGGAGGCCTCCTGAGGGCAAGTATCTGTACCTTGTACATCTTTGCATCCAGCACAGAACAGATGTAACAAGGACACTAGGAATTTATCCCTAAGGAGCAGAGTAGAGGGCAGTAGTGGGAAAATTACTAAGGATTCTTGCTAGACTAACTAACCAGGTGGAGGTGAGGAATGTAGAATTTGATGAGATATCAAGGGGTGGCCAGAGCTAACTCGGTCTAGCCCTTTGGGGCGTCCCTAAACTGACATAGCAAGATTATCTCTGAAACTGGATTCTACAAGGATGGGAAGTCTAAAGACAAGACTAGTTGAACAGAGGAGCCTGATTAAGTTTAGTCAGCATTTTATTTTCCTTCTCTTTAAAGGAATGTTTAGACTGATATTAGTTTGTTTAGACTGATATTACTATGAACAGTACTGCTACAAACATTCTTGAACAGTCCACTAATACATCTGGGTTCGTATTCTTGGGCCTATTCTTAGGAGTGAGATTGTTGATTCACTGTCTAGCATTGGTCAGTCCATCAAAATGAAGTGCTAAAGATTTGATCCTCTATATCTTATGTCATCAGGGAATACAAATTAAAATGATAACGAGGTCCTCCCTGTTGGCACAACGGGTTAGGACACAGCATACTGCAAGCTAGCACAGCTGCTTCGGTGTTAGTGAGTGTTCGATCCCTGGCCTTGGAGATGACCAACATGATGCAGCAGACCTCTCCTGATCCACCTGCTCTTCCCCTCAGCAGTGCACTTCGTTGATCTGTCTGTTCTGCTTCCCACTCTTATCTCTGGTGAATCCTCTCACCGCCCCTGCACTCTGGCTTGCTCTCCAGTTCTGTATGCATAAATAAATAACTCTTTTTTAAAAATTATAATGAAATAATATTACATACCAATTAGAATGGCCAGAAATCCAGAACTCCTGCAGCACTCAGTGCTATGCAGATGTAGAACCAGGAACTTTCATTTATCACTACTAGGAGTGCAAAACAGAATTACTACTTTGGAAGACAGCTTGGTAATTTCTTACAAAACTGAAATACTCTTTTACCATATGATTCATCAATGGTGCTGCTTGGTTATATTTACCCAGAAGAATTGAAAGTTTAAGTCCACACAGAAACCTACACACAGATGTTTATGGCAGCTTTATTCATCATTGCCCAAGCAGCCAAATAGGTGATGGAATAAATAAACTGTGGAACACCCATACATTGAGATACTATTTAGTGCCGAAAGCAAGTGAGCTATTAAGGTATAGAAAGACATGGAAGAGACTTAGTGAAAGAGGCCTAACTGCAAACTGTGTGATTCCAAAAATAGGATATTCTAGAAAAGGTAAAACTAAAGAGAAAATAAAAATATGAACTTGAGGAACTCCACACCACATGAACCTGGGTAGGCAAACGAGTCACGTTCCACGGGTGGACATAAAGTCTAGCTCTTAGTCATGGCTCCCAAATTTCACACAAATCCTATTCATACTTTGTTTTTCGTAAAGTCAAACAACCCCCTCCTTCATTCCCTAGCCTTCCTTGCCACTGTATACAGATGTGATCTGGATTCTGCCAAACTGACACATCAGTCTGTTTCAGAAGCAGCTACCTGAGGAAACTCCCTGGACAGGGGTGTCCATTTAGACCTGTACTCCAGAGAAGGAGATGCGGGTCTTTCCTGGGTTAGTGGCAGCTTCATTTCAGTGTGGCAGAAGCTCTCTTGCCAGGTTGGTTCTGCAGTATAATCATAGGGATTTCCAGAAATCTCAGTCCAGAGCCTAGATTTTGGTGGGGAGGAAGCTAATTGTCCTCTACCCTTGAGGGTCCTGGGGCTGAAAAATAATTAAATCGACACAAGAGAAATTAGTAAGAAAAAAGAAAAATTTCAATTATGTTTGAAAGGTGGAGGGTGAGGGTGCATAGACAGTGAACCTGCTTTCTGGTCACCCCAGTGAAGTTACACGGTCTTTAGAAAGGGAGCAATAGACTTAGGAGGAGAACATAGAAAAAAAGAGATTTGCAATTTAAAGAAAAACGAATATGTCAGGGTTCACCTATACCTGCATCAAAAAACAGACCATGCAAGTCTTAGCCATGGGAGATAAAGCTGGACAGTTGTCCCCATCTCCTGGGCCACCTGAGATTTCTTGTTTTTAGGGAGATAATTAGGCAAAAATTCATTCTTGGGCCTCTGTCTCACAATCAGTATGCCTGTCTTTGGTCCATATTTTCAACAATCTCAGTTACTTAGTGAGTATTCTTTCTTACTAAATCACCTGCTGAAATAGATGAAGTGGATTCTATTGTTGGCAACAAAGAAATTAGAGAGGTGACATCCCTCCTTTTTCCAGGTTTCCTGAGTTTGACCAATCAAAATTTTCCTCTTAGGTCTTTAAAACTGGAACCAGTCATTCATAAAAGCAAGGATGATGGAGAATTCCTTTTGATGGAGGCAGGCTTGGCAGCAGCGACATCCAGACCAGGGAGAGCACTAGCTGTGGTGCCCACGTTGGGCTGGGCATCAGCGCTGGCAGTAGTGGCACAGCTCAGCATGTTGAGTTTGCGGCGTGATTCCAGTTGCGGTTCTGCTGCCCTGGATTTGCTGTGATTTTGTTGTCATTGTTCTTGCCTGATTCTTTCTGGATCTAGTTCTCTAGGCTTCCCAGCCATTCTGTGACTTCCAATTCTCTTTCTTTCGAGTCTGTTCTGACAATGAGTTGCACTGTTTGTATTTTGAATATAGAACTAACTTTGCATTCCTGGGATAAACTCCACTTAGTCATGATGTTTTAACCCTTAAATGCATTGCTAATGACTCCATTTGTGTCTATGTTCACAGGGCTCTGGTCTGTGCTTATTCCCCTTGTAATATCTTCGCCTGACTTTGGCATCAAATTAATGCTGCTCTTCAAGAATGAGTTAAGAAGTGTTCCTTTTTCTTCTATTTTTCAGAAGGGTTTTTTTTTTATAGAATTGGTATTATTTCCTCCTTAAATGTTTCAGAGAGTTTACCAGTGAAGTAATCTCTCCCTAGAGTTTTGTTTGTGGGAGATTTTGAAAAAGACATGTCTTTAATAGGTAGAAAGATAATCTAGTTGTTTCTTTTTAAATAAGATGTGGTGGGCCCTCCCTGGTGGCGCAGTGGGTTAAAATGCAGCACTGGGAAGCTAGAGCCACTTGGTTCGATCCCTGCCTGTCCCAGAGGTGACCCACATGGCTCAGCAGACCTCTCCTGCTCCCTCAGCAGTGCACTTCATCGATCTGCTTATTCTGCTCCCCATTCTGTCTCTGGTGAATCCACCACCCTTGCACCTCTGGCCTGTACCCCAGTTCTATATGCACAAATAAGTAAATCTTAAAAAAAAAAAAAGATGTGGTAATTTGCTTTCCAGAAATTTTTACATTTCATCTAGTTTTGAATATATTAGACTTTTAATACAAGTTTCATCCATAGAGAGCGATGTCACCTCTCTAATTTCTGATATTGATAACTTGGTCATTTGAATCTCTTTTTAAAATCCAAGTTTCCATTCTGGTTTGGGTCTTATCAGTTTTATTGACCTCAGAGAAACAGCTTTTGGTTTCATTTATTTTCTCTGTTTCCTATTTCATTGGTTTTTGCTTTGATCTTCCTTATTTCATTCATTCTACTAACTTTGACA